CAGAAGGAGGGAGAGAATCTTAAGCAGGCTCCACCAATGCAGAGCCCAACATGGGACTTGATCTCACAACCCTGAGATCATGACCCCGAAATCTTGGCCTGAACTGAAATCAAGATTCAGATGCTTAATCAACTGAGACACTCAGGTGGCCCTGTTTGTATTACTATAGAAAAATCCCTACATTACTATAGAATAATCCAAACAGCCTTTGAAATGATAAATTCAGCTGCTGGGGTACATTGGCTTAACAAAGCCCATTAGATTTTAGATAGGAGTCTAGTCTTTACACTAGAGCTATGAAAATAGTTCATATATTTTTTTTGGGGGGGGAATCATTGTCAGCAAAAGTAAAGATATTGTTTATTCATTTGGGAAATAATTATTTTAAGTAAAACGTTACTAAAGGAATATGCAAATTGATTTACGTTATACCACAATGGTATGATAACTTTAAAGGATATTTATGGAAAGGTGAGGCAATTACGACAGATGACATTAAAGTATTACCTTTTTAAAAATTATGTAAATAATTTCAGTCCTGCTTGAAAAATCTGCATCAAAATACTGGGTAGAATTCCATCTTCTTATGATTCTGTGAGGGACACTGGAGAAGCATGCTAAGTGGGCATGACTCTTGGTCTTTGAGTTTATATACAGTTCAAGGCAGTAATAGCTAAAGTGAATATTTAGTTGATATGTCTGATATATAATATATTTAAGCTAAAATATGCACTCTAGTTGTATTTTTAATTTTTGCGTCAAGTGGTATCATCAAATCAATAATGATAATCATTTTAATAAGGGAAGAAAATTACAGATTATACTTGTGACCAAGAAAGAAAAAAAATAAAGAGAAGGATTTACACAATAGTAATTACCTGAGCAGATGGATTCCTAATCCTAGAAATAAACATGCTAATTAAGCTACACTACAGAATGACAAGATATTATGGTCTTCTGAGTCTGGAAAGATTGTTATTCTAATTTACTAGTGTAACTTAATTCTCAATATATTAAAAAGTACTTAATCAACCAAATCTTTTTTTAATTATCAAACTTATTTAGGCAGTTTTAATGTTTCTGTAAATTTCTTCCATGTGTTTCTTCTATAGGGGCAGACTTTCTCACCAGTGATTCATGGCTTGTTTCATATTTGTATTTTTCATAGAGCAGGATTGAGTTTTGTTATGTATCTAAGAAGACATTCTTTTCTGTCTGCTGTCAGTGAGATTTTAATTAGGGAATTAAAGATCATAATGCTGACCTGTTCACAGCTATCCTATGCTGCCTTCCTTTAAAGATGAAAGAAAGTCTTTATTAATAATTGGGATTTGCAATTCTTGGACTGGTTTAGATGAGTTACTGATTTTGCTACTTCCATGACTAACTATTTTGGAAGAAAGTAATGGGAAGATGGAAAATGATAGATGGAAGGCAGAAGTTTGTCGAAATAAGTAAGTGTGAGAAAGAAGCCAGGAAGAAAGTATCATCATTTTCATATTTACCAGTGCATGAGGAGTTTGAATTACCTAACCAGTAATTGATCAACATAAAATGTTTTTGGAAGGTTACCTGGAATACATATAATTAGCATGACATTTCTTAGTGCTTGGATGCAAGTCATTATGGAAGACAGAGATTTTTTTTAAGATTTTATTTTAAGTAACCCCTACACCCAACACCCAACGTGGGGCTCGAACCCACCACCCCAAGATGAAGAGTCACATACTCCACCGAATGAGCCAGCCAGGCGCCCCAAAAGCAATAGATTTTTAGAGCAAAAAAGAGTCATCCAGGAAGAAATTCTATAGCTGGTTTAATTTAGTATCTAATTGCTTCCCAAAATGTTTCTGTGTGGGACTATATGGGTGGAGGGGAAGTGGTGTATGTTACTTTCCTGTCTTTTCCCCTATATTTAGATTTTAGTTGTAACCATGGTATACACTTTTTTTTATATCAAAAGATATCTTAACTATATTTGAAAGTGGTAAATATTTAAGACAATTATGTAAGTGTAACTGGCCTCAGTTTTAATCTAATTCAACAAACATTTATTGAATAAACATAAGCCTGGCGGTAGAGAGATATGTAACCTTAAAAAAAAAATCTGGTCCTAACCCCTTAGACCTTGTTACTCAAACTGTGGTCCATGGACAAGCAGCACAGGCATTTTCTAGGAATTGTTAGATATACAGAATTTTAGGGGCAGCTGGGTGGCTCAGCAGGTTAAGCGCCAGCTCTTGCTTTGGGCTCAGGTCATGACCTCAGGATCCTGGGATCCAGTCCCGCACCAGGCTCCATGCTTAGTGTGGAGTCGGCTTGAGGATTCTCTCCTTTTTCCTCTGCCCCTCCCCCTGTACTCTGTCTCTTTCTAAAATAAATAAATCTTAAAAAAGAAAAAAAGATATGCAGAATTTTAGGCTCCATCCCAGCCCTTGGAAACCAAAATCTACATTGCAACAAGATTTCCAGGTGATTCAAATGCATACTAAATTTTGAGAAGCACTATGTTCGAAGAACATAGTCTAAGCAAAGAAACAGTTTTTTTTAAGGCAATAATTTTACAAGAAATGTGCTACCTCAGAAACAAATACTGCAGACAGTAATAGAATCTGATTCCGCTTATAGAGACTTGTAATGGTTTTAACTCCACTCTCTTCTATGCTACACTTTCCACATGACACATCAGCATTTTCTAAACTGTGTCTCTGGGTCAAATACACCTGAGAAATGGTGCATGATCTATACCACTGCTTAGAGATGCCTTGTTCCCAAAAGCATGTGAAAGATTCTGAGAAGTCCTAAAAGACACGTCTGTTTTACATAAACCCAGGAATCCACAAATATACTTAAACATGCAACTTTCTTGCCTTGCACGGTACCATTAAAATACTCCAGAACTAGTGTTCTGTGGAACACACTTTGGCAAACGCTACATTTTATGAGTTGGCAACATTTTGCTCATGAATACCTTACTTGGATCCTTCTGCTTTCCATTAACATCTCTTTCTCCTTTTTTATAAAGTATCTAGAATAAATTCAACTTTGAATATAGGTGTGAACAAAAAAATACAATTTAGCTCTGACACAATGTATATAATAATATAGGAAGTCTGAGGCAAATTAATTCAGCTGTTTCGTTAAAACCCATCCAGATCTGGATAGATAAAGTTGTCTTTGAACAAACAGCGTGCGAAAGCCTGGCCTCCACATATCTTTGAAATTAAGCCGGATCCTGCAAGTAATGAAAGGGAAGTTTTGGTTAACTACCAATAATGAATAATTCATTGGTGAGATTATGAATAAGAACAATTGTCATGACTAAAATAATGTTCCTGAAACTGACATAGCATTTGAAATAGGGCAGTTTATAGATTCAGCTAAGAGACAGTAGGTATATATTCTGTGCTGATAAATTGTTGAAATTCAAAACTTCCTTCAGGGAATAGATGCGTGGTTCTGTCAAATTAATAGTAAGGAGCCCTTAAAACTCAGAAATTCAAAGGCAATGAAGTCAAAGCACATGCCAAGGATTTTACAATTCTCAATTCTGTTAGCTCCTCAGACCTGCCATTTGTTTGTGTTGCTGCTATTTAAGGTATTTTCTCTCTAATTATAAAAGGAAGATAGGCTCTCCTCTACCTTAGAAAATATTTTTTAGTATAGAAAAGACTTTGAAAACACAAGTCTACCTACCTGAGCTATTTGGTTAGTTGAGGATGCCTCTAGTTCTGACTTCATTGGCCCAATGATTCTTGTTTGTTTTAAAATATTAATCCAGCCTAGCAGGGCTCTCATAAATCTGCTCCTCCTTGTACGGCAGTAACAGTATAACTCCCACTGGAAGGTCCCTGAGGTAAGAGCCCTCCGTGGACCAGAGGCTTGGCAGGACTGCACGACGTCTTCACCCAAGACATGCAGCCAGGGGGAAACCCCGAGGTAGAGTTTCCAAGATGATTAGCCACTGTTCTTCTAATTTCTAATTTTTAACTCAAAGAAAATCACAGAAGTTGACCTCAGACATCATTTGGCCACCGTTCCCTGCATTAACCCAACCCCAGTTCTTAAAATTGAAATCGCGACCCAGCTATTTTAGCAAATTGCGGCTGGCCATTCCAGTTTGCCAACAGCGACTCTCCCTGCCATCCAGGTGACATGTGATGGAATTGCCTAGGGCTTAGTAAATCTTGTGGTTTTGTGAAGAAAATCCAAGAGATAAGTTCTTGTTTTTCATAGAGAGAAAAAATCATTTCTACACATACTGATAGCATGTCTTTCCGGTATCTTCTTTCTGATTCATTTAAAAATGTGCATTTTTGAAAGCCTCATGCGAAATAAAACATCAGTACCTTCTGCATGTGTTTCCTGTGGGAACCAAACAATATTGCAGAAGCGCATACAGTAGGACGTACAGATATGTAGGGGGAGTGGAAAATTAAACAGTAGTGAAGGGAGCAAATGGGTAATGTAAATTATATTGATACTATAAACAGATAACTTGGCTTTGGGGACAGTAGTGTGGTAAAATGCTGCATTTCCATTTCTTATCATTACGCCTGACAGTACCTAGATAAAAACCATTGCCAAATTTACTGAAAAGGGGAAATGCAAAAATATTTGTGATCCACACCTGGCTTAAGCTAGAGTAAAAGCTTTAGAAAGGTCCACTGGAACTTGGTCAATTTTCTTACCAGATGTATAATTGACAAATTAGGTTGTTCACATTTGTGAGAAGGAAAAAATAAATGAAATGACACAGTGCTACTATAAAAGGAGGGATGCTGCTCATGTTGAAAGAGAACAGAAAGAGTGTGTCACAAATATATATCCGATGTTTATTCCCATGTAATTCAAGAATGATGAAACTGAGCACTCTTCTAGTCCAATTACCTGCCCTACATAAAAATATTTTGATGCCTCCACTTTATATATGAATATTTATATTGAATGCCATACCTACACCTATGTGTACAATACATATGGGTACTGCACATATATACCTAAAGCAGCCCACCAATGTGATGTCAAAGGGAATTCCAACATAACTGAAAAAGAAAAAAAAAGGTGTTGTTCATTTTTAAAATATGCATTATTTTTTACACATGAAGAAACACTTCTGTTTGGTTAGATCACATCCGCATGACAAGGGGAAATTTTATTCACATTCATGAAATCAAGTAGCCACTAAGCTGTACTTGAGATCATCGTTTAACAAGTCACTTATTAAATCAGACACCTGAAACTCCTCTTCTAGAAAAGACGATATGGATTGTCAGGGTCTTGGGTCAGCTCACAGAGTGGATCGAGTGCTAGGTACCACAGGTAGTCCTAAGGCCATCCCGGAGCCTCCATACCTGACTTTCTCTGGAGTTCTGAGCCATTTCACTCTGAACTCAATTCTATTCAACTGTGTTTCTTAAGTATGTAACTTTTCTGGGTCTGGAACCTATGACCCATCTCAACCTTGAAGACTGAGCTACCCTATGCCCCAGAACCCTTTGGCAAATATCCCACGGCTGTCTTCCACGTAAATGTAAGCCTTAAAGTAAGATAAAGAACTTGAGATAATGGGGCTTAGTGGTTCTGAAAGCTACGAAGGGAAGGTATGTGTCTGGTGCCAAGGGGATTGATATACCAGCATTCTCTGATAACGGTGATGCTAGGACATAACCACTCATTTGGAAATTGTGTACTCTTAAGTTGGAGAATGATGAAGCCATTAATAGATCACAGCACTGAAAAAAAATGAGTGAGTTAAGTTGCTAATAAATAATAACAACTTTGAATTATAACTTGTGGTTTATTAACACCCATCCTTTGACTTGTATCTTTTTTTTTTTTAATGGAAGATAGAAAGGGAGAGAAGTTACAATTGAAGCACATGATGTCGTGAGCACTGGGTGTTACACTCAAGTGATGAATTACTGAACAGTCCATCAGAAAGTAAGAATGTACTATATGCTGGCTAATTGAATTTCAATAAAAAAAAGAAGAGTAAATTTTGAATGGATGGATGAAAAAAATGGATGAACTCATTTACTGAGTAATTATTATATGCTCAGACACTATTTCAGACAATTTCTCACCCTCCTTGAAATGTCCTAGGTGTCCCGCTCCATAGAGGAGGCAGCTAATGTAAACAGTATTGTGACTTCCCTTAAGGACTACACACCTCATAAAGAGGTAGGATTGGAATTTGAATCCATTTTCTTTTGACTCCAAAGATCACAGGTAGAAATAAAACCCCTTAGTTTCAGAAAGTAGTATTCTTGGTAAAATAACTATCATTGGGAAGTTTGCACGCCCGGCAGTGTGGGTTTCCTTAGGTCCCCGCTCCCAGGCTTTGGTCAATTTCTTCCTCAAGGAAGGGTTTTGGGAGAAGAGTATTCCAAACAGAGGCAAACCCTGTACAAGCTGATGACAAGTTAAACGTGAGAGGAGAATAGGAAACATCTACATTTCAGTGCAGTTTTGAATCAGAAGATGCAACCAATCGAAACCTCTCCCAGGAAGTGCTAGAAGGACTTAGTGGGCAGGAGAAGTGAGGGGAGGGATGGAGAACTAGCATGGCACCATCAGTTTTTATTATTAAGCCATCAGAGGATAATATGCATATAGCAAAATTTGACTCTTGTGAAGCGATTTATTTATTTATTTATTTATTTATTTATTTATTATTGTGAAGCGATTTAGGTACAGATTCAGATCTAATATATTTTCTTTGTTTCTTTGTTTACTTTGCTTTGCTTTGCTTTGCCGAAGTGATGACAGCATGAAGAATAGTTACTGAAATAGCATAATCCCAGACCCGTTCTTCTACAACCAGAACGAAAAGCAATCCGCAAACAAAGTAGGTGACCTGCGTTGAGACTAGAAGAACTGCAAATAGAATGAAGACTATAATTATTTGGAACTAGAGAAACTAACAGTTCTGAAACACGGTTAGTTAACAGAACCATTACAACTTACTCTGCGAGGAAATTTTGGTAAGATGTTTCAAAATACTCCATCTCCTAACAGCCCTCAAATTTGGGTAAGAACTTTTTAACGTATTCTGCCTCTTAATAATTCCTTGACTTTTAGAAAATAACAGGATATAATTTGTTTCACGTTCTTTGTACTCATCACTTTAAAGGTAAATACAATAAAGAAAGGTTACCATGTAATCAACACACGTTGATCTATATAGTTCGACTGCAGCTGTCCAATTAAGATATATTAAAAACTAATGAGAAATACAGATCTGAGTTTTCAAAAATGAAAAAAAAAAGAAATGTAAGAGTTCATTGACTTATAACATTTCTTTGGTACCAATCACTGCCTTTCTTGGAAATGAGTTCCTTGGCGTCTTTGTAATGAAGTGGCAGTTCCCATAGTCCTCAGGGACACATAACCGGGGACCCTGGATGAAAGGAAGCCTCATGAATGACTTGTGTGGATAGAGGCACTCTTCTAAACCACCCGATTGTCTCAGAGTCGTCTCCCCGAACACGTATAAAGAGCTAGTTATTTACAGGTCAGGACCACAAATCTCTAAGAGCCTTGAACATGTGAAGGGTCAACCTTTTGCGCCTTGTCTTTGATACGGATATTTAAGACTATAGTGCTTTCGAAGGAGAGATCCATCAAACATATGTGACAAATATATGTGACCTACCATCAAGGTCCCTTTATAATGATGTCATTTTCAGTAAAAATCACCTTTTTTTTTAAACAAAAATGCAGCAAATGATTGAGATGTTCTAATAATTCAGGAATCAATGAATCTAGATGGGCAAACTCTCCATTTTTCAAAGCAAAAGGTAAAATAATCACGTTATATCCCTTGTGCAGAAGTAATTTATTAACCAGCAAGCCAGCGATTGTTTTGTGGTGAGCGAGGCACTAGCCAAGTGAGCAAGTCCCAAGTGCCACACTTTTGAAAGGCCTTACACTGATTTCGCCTCAATTATATTTAATTTCACTTAACAGGTTTCAAAAAGTTGAAGGGAGAATTCATACCGACTCCTTTTCTATTATACGGGAATAATTTTTTTAGTTCAGCATGTCCTGTTCCCTAAAATCTAGGCTGAGGAAGGAAGTACATTGATGGATCATATTGACAGCACCTCTTCCCAGCACGTTTCCACTTCTACCTCTATCAGTGGCTCACGCAGCCTCCAGATTATTAGAGGGAAATGGAGAGGCCTCTTTTATCAGCATTTATAGATTTTATAGGTTAACTTGCAGCTACTTGGAGACATTGATTTTAGTCTTGAACAAGCTGTATTTGCATATATTGATTTACAAAAAAGGCTTTTGCTTTGTTTATAATATGAAAGAAAGCATGATTTTTAAAAAGTAATACAAAATTTAAAATCAGGATACCAATGTGATAGTCTTGCTTTTTAGCTTAGGAGGTATAAAACCTTGAGTACAATTTTAACGTCTGGGTCAGTCTGTTTCTCTTTAATTAGGAAATGGAGTGCTATCTTTTCTACCTCAAAAAATTGTTAGGAGGATTTTAATTTAAAATGAAAGCAATTTGTAACCTATTCTCTGCTATGCAAAGGAACGATATTAGTAATCAAAATGTTTTAACTAGACTTAAACTTTCCAGTGTCCTTGCTAAACCTACTCCCCTGGGTGACAAAATCATTGAAACAGATGAGAAACTTGACCCTAACTCCATGCCCCAGGCTCTGCGATTACTCTCCCACTTTATCTCTGAGATTAAAGTCTAAATTCTCAAAGTAACAACTTTGAGGAGTTAGGGCAGTTATCTCCCCAAGCCCAGAATTAAAGATCTAATAGGCTAAGGTTTTATTGATATCTTTGTATAAATGTTAGTGTTTTGTGAGAGGAGAGAATGATATAAACTGTGCCAGGCATCCTGGGGATCTTCACTAATTTCTGCTATGTAAAAACACAGCCTTTCCAATAAGCTGTGTCATTCCTATCTTTCATTGACTAACCCAAAGGCAAGAATTAAATAGTAACAGTTGAGTTTTAAATCCCCTTCCAAAAAAAACCCCACATAGACAGCCCTTACTTAACTCTTAACTGTGACTATTTCCTTATCAATTGTGGACAGTTTTGATAGAAAATAAGTTAATTCTACGTTCAATAGGGAAGCACATAAAGAGAAAGTTAAAGTAGAGTGTTAGGCCTCTTGCGTCTCATTAGAATGAGAGTCTTTTTCCTAACATATTCTTCGTCTATTCAAAATTGAATCGATAAAAGCACCAAAGAAGGTCACCCATTCGAGGACGTTGTTCTAAAGCTTTTCAATTCGAAGTCAGTAATTCTAACTGACCAAGCCTCGTGTACAAGTCATATTCAAAATCTGGTTTCTTTGTCTTCAGGCAATTTTTGTAGATTTGCATATTTGTTCCAAAAAAAAAAACATGTCCAGTGGTTTTCTAAAGAATCGTAATGCTTAAAAAATCCACAATTCATTAAAAAAAAAAGTAGGATGAAATTTAACAGACTGTTAAGAATAATTATATTTAGAAAGTAAGTTTATGATTGAATTTCTTCTTTTTCTCCTTTCTACTTGTAGGTATTTTATAAGCTTTCATTAATTTATGTGTATTATTTTATAATGGAAATAACATTAGAATCTCATTTTTCTAAAGATGGGACAAACCATGAATCCCCCCAAAACAAGTATGTTTGACATGTATTCAATGCAAGTAGCTGTTATTATTAACACATATGAGGCTTATGAATGTAGTAGGTATCAATTAATAATTATTTTTTCAACTGAAATTATGAATTTAAAAGAGATACATTTTTCCTTAGTATACTCTCACATATCACTTTTCCTTCGCAATGTGTTCCCCCCCCCCATTTTGGAAAGAAAAATCAAACTAAGCAGAAATGTACAAAGCAGAAAATGAAAGTCCTCTGTCATCCCAGCTGGGATATAACAGTTTGTTGCATAATTCTCCAGATTTCTTACCACTGACACCATGTATTTTACTCTGTTCTACAAAAATGAATAATTACACTACACAAACACTATTGTCGTCCTTATTTTCCATGCCATATCTCATGAGCATTTCTCTACATCAACATATTAAATCAGTCTTCTTCCTCTTCCTTGAAAGATGTTTAATGTGCAAAATATTTGCCTACAAGATCATCAAATAAAAATTCCTATAATAATTCTATTCATTTATTCCACTATTCCATCCTATCCCACCTTTTAGGAATAGCCACTTTAAAATTTGTGATGGCATTTTTCCACATTAATTTTTGAAGTCAGATATAAGATACAGATGGCTGAGTGGAAGGCCTGATATCTTACAAATTTTTATAAAACAAAAACTATTTTGTTTTTTGATGCATTTAATTCACTAATTGACAAAGATTGGAAATTAAAACCAATTACCTTTAAATTTGTGTTGAGCCATAAGGGGTTTGTTTTGAAATCAAATGGTGCCAGGACATCCAACTCATATGCCCTGAAGATGTTACAAATGAAAATAGTTTTCTCTGGGGGCCGCAGTTCCTCCTAACTTCGAATATCAAGGCTTTGAATATCGCTCTTCACATAAGTTATTAGTTTTATCCACATTGTGGCACATTTAGGAGCTAGCTGACTTGCATGGCAGCCAAATAATCTTTTTATCCACATTGTCTTATTTGTCCAGTTAAGTCCACCTGGTGGGCTTCATTGTATTTTAGGTCTCCGCTGTAATCTTGAAAGTCCTTTCTATTAAATATGGGAGGAGAACTTAACCTAATTCTGTGGCAAGAGCCTAGGCATGGAAATGCACAAGACCCAGGCTCCAACCCAATGGTGTTGTGAAACTGTGAATTTGGGTAAGTCCGTTCCATTTGGAGCGGAACTTTAGTGTCTCTTCTGTAAATTGAAAAGGTTAATCTCTGAGATCTCTTCCTGTTGTAAAATCGGAGTCTATAAATATACACCCTCTACTGTGCCTGTTGTAGTTGTGTGCAGCTGGTCAATCAGTTAGCTGCCTCCTGGAGCTTTAAGGCCCAAGAACTTAAAATTCCTCTCCTCTGACTCACATTAACTACAAATCCCTGAAATCAGGCTCAGAGAGCCTTGAAGATTCTCAGTTCTTCCCTGCTCCAGGCATGGCCTCACCATCTTCCGTCCCAGGAACAGCTGAGACTGTATGTGAGCAGCAGATGCTTCCTCAGTGGGTTTGCCTGCAAGCATGCTGAATAACATTATTCCCATTGCAAAAGTTGGTATAATTATTTTTGGTTACTAATTTGCATATTGAAATCAAAGGGTCCTAACTCCTTGCTTGCACAATAAAATTAAATTATGTAAACACTCTACTTCTTAGAAATTATTTGTAAAGCTACATTCAGGTATTTCAAAGCAATCAATATATTGGCAACCTTAATTTGTAGAGACAAAATTCACCCATGGCAAGTCAAAAAAAAAAATTACCCCCCCCAAGAAAGCCTCACAGTGCCATAGCAATATCACTGAAAATACACATTTTACCTTGTCCTCATAATAACCCTCTTTTGATTAATTACTTCCATTTGACAAATGAAGGCGAGAGAAGCTCTATGGCTTAGTTAAGATTTTCCAAAAAGTTAGTAAGAACCTAGGCCAGAATTTAGGTCTCCTGACTCGAGTCCAAGAGAGATTTCCAGTATGTATCAGAAAATATTTAAATCTGATGCAGATTATCTCTACATTCCCTTCTAATTCAAATCTGCTCTGATTCAATACCAGCCCAGGGAGTAATAGGTTCACTTTCTTTCTATCACCATCTTCCAAAGAAGAAAGAGTAACAGTCTTGTCTGGTCCTGTCTACCCACATCATTTCATGATTGTTGCTTTGATCATTTTTGAAGATGGCACATTTGCTATTTTTCCTTTAAAAAGGTGCAGAAATATATCATTTTTAAAACATTGTATCCCCTATTCCATAAAGGCATGCCAAGTACTAAATATAGACTCCTTTCATATTCAATCTTAGCTTTTAAATTCTGTTTGAAGGCAGCTTTCCTGAGCATCATGCAGCACATGCCCAGGACCTCATAGTACACAGTGTGGAAGAGGATGACACATATAAGAAGATTCTGCAAAACAACCTGCAGAGAACACAGACGTGAGCTCCAAGAGCCTGGGCTTTTTCACATGGTTGTTGGTAAGGAGTCTGACAAACAAAAGACGATGGATGACCCCTAGATAGTGTTGGCTAACTTTGTTTTGCTTGGAGACCCACGGGGCGGGAAGGACTTCAAAGTCCACGGTGAAAGTTTTTCTGACTGGAAAGGCTGGCGTAGTCCGCATCTGCACCAGGATTGGTTCAGTACGAAAATCCATGTCACTTACCTTCCTTCTCCTACAACACATGTCCTACATGCTAACACTTATAGTTTAATTTGACAAAATGATCTTAAATCTCAGCCATCATGATAGTCAAAATATGAGAACAGATGAGAAATTTTGAGAAGTATGAACACAAAAGTACACAGTAACACGGTAATAATTAAACCTGTGTGCAAGAATTTACAGAGCAATTGGCGAAAACACAATAGACAGTCCTAAAATGGCCTCTACCGCATTTGAGACTTGAAGGAAGCACTGCAGATTAATGGGGACCAGATGGATTACTCAATAAACAGTGTTGTGAAAATTGTCTAACTTCTAGACAGAAAAATCCCATTAGATTCCAGTCTTGTACCAGACACCAAAATAAACTTGAAATGGATTAAGGGCTTAAATGCCAAGAAATAAAATGGGAGAAAATATTTGCAACATATATTATGAGCAGAGGATTGATATCCACAATACATAAACACATACAAATAAAAAAAGACAAACAAACCAAGAGAAAAATGGACAAAGTATATAAATAGGCAGTTCACATGAATAAACATTTAAAAAGCCAATAAACAATCGAAAATGTCTGAACTTCACTATTAATCTTTTGAAATATATTCTTATGAATATAGTAAAGATGTCAGCATTTCACATGGAAATTTTCCAGTTTATTCTTTTCCCTTTTTATCTTTTTAAAAGTCTTCTTGTTTGGTCAACAGCTCAACACTTGAGCAATGTTCATTTTCTCTAAATGACCAATCTGCCAAATCTAACACATCTTTTATTTTATTTTTTTTTTTAATTTTTATTTATTTATGATAGTCACACACACACAGAGAGAAAGAGAGGCAGAGACACAGGCAGAGGGAGAAGCAGGCTCCATGCACCGGGAGCCCGACGTGGGATTCGATCCCGGGTCTCCAGGATCGCGCCCTGGGCCAAAGGCAGGCGCCAAACCGCTGCGCCACCCAGGGATCCCTAACACATCTTTTAATTGGCCTGGGAAGAGGAGCCTCCACTGGATACAAGAGAATAGAGTCAGCAGAGAGCATATCACCACCGTTTGGCTGAGTGGGCCAAGTTTACAGCTCTACCAAGAGCTTATTTCTTTCAAGTATCTAAAAATAGGTGGACGGTCTGGCGTAAGAGAACTATAGGAAATCAGGACTAAAGGGTTCTAGCACCTTCAGGATCTGTCCCCCTGCCCTGCCCACACCAATGCCATCCCTAGCCCCTCCTACTCTTTCCCTATAGACTCCCCATTGGCAAATCTCTTCTGCCTCTGCCCATCGTTCTCAACCCCCCTTTGTCCTTCAGTATCTCCCACTCATTGCTGCCTAATCCCCCACCCTTATTTTCAGGTGAAATATATTTGACATATAATATTGTATAAATTTAAGGGCCACAACATATTGATTTGCTACATTCATATGCTGTAATATGAGTGCCCTGGTAACGATAGTTAGCGCTTTGGCCTATCTCATAATGATCATTTCTTTTTTGTGGCTGGAACAATTAAGATCTAGTCTGTCAGCAAGTTTGATGATTATAACATAATATTGTTGTCTATATTCTCTATCCCATGCATTCGATCTCTAGGACTTACTACACCCTGCAAGTTTGTACCCTTCACACTTTAATCTTTCTTTAAGACATGGATAGCTCTGTCGTGTCATGATGGCTGACACAATCCTTTTTAAGGGAAAACGCAAAAAGATGAGACCTTCTCATGGTTCTCTTTCTTTTGTGAGAGAATAAAAGTCTTTCTTAGAAACCGCCATCAGATGTCCCATTATGTCTCATTGACCACCACTTGAGTCCTGTGCTCACTTCCTGAACAATTGCAGAGAGTAAAGGGATCTACCAGGTTAGGTCTAGAAAGAACATTGGGACTTTGCTCTCAGAAAAGGGCACCTACTACTGTAATAAAATGAAAATTGTTAGCAATTATTAGCAAGGAAGGAAAAAGGGGAGTGGGGCCTGCTATGAGGTAGGCAACTAACAGTGTCTTCCAAGTGGTGGAATCAATATGGAAAAACTAATTTGTAGAGAAGATTCTTTAGAGGTCAAGAGAACATGTGAATGCTCTACCTGAGTTGAAGGTCCAACTACTATGCCCACATTTAAGTTGGTTGAATTTCTTCCCAACTGTCGTGTTAAAAATCTGCTGATGGAAGATGGATCTGTGATAGGGAACAATATTGGTGCTTCTGCAGACTTAAATTTTTCTTCAGGGCCATGTGTCTTTGGAATTGCTTTACTCTTTTTTCTATATTTTAATATCTGTTTTTCTTTTAATTTGAGCACTAAGAGGCCCTAGCTGAAATTTTCTGGATGATTGTTTTATTTCAACTCAATCCAAAATAAGATATACAATATATAGTCCCTATAGTAATATATACTCAAACATAAAACTATTTTTATTTCTATGTTAATATTAAAATTTAAATAATTTTTAATATATTAACTTCCTATCAAATTTTACTTCTGTAATCTCAATAGGGGATGTCATACATCCTTAGAAAACACACAAATACTAATAAATCTAAGACATTTGAACTACTTTTTAAAAAATGAAATCATAATTTGTGGGGATACATATTTATTGACAAATTTTACATACGTATGTCTACTTTCTCCCCAAATCTACACAACACTATATATAAATATATAAATAGAATTACACATTTAAAAAGAAATATTTTTGAAAAGCAAGGCATCATTTTTAAAAATAATTACCATTTTTTCTACCTGAATAATATATATTTAGGTTTTCAAATAATAATTTTCCTATAAGCAAATACAGTTGCCTCTATAACTTCTTCCTATAATTTATACTCTGCACAGCTTGCAAAAGTAACTTTCTAAAAGGCAAGCAGACCATGACATTCCCCTGCTGGATATCCTCCGATGGCCCCACAATCATCAGGATTCATTCATCCATTTTTTCACTTGACAAATAGTCACTGGGCTGAGTGGCAATGCAGAGGGAATTGGATGTGGTCCCCAGCACAGAAACTCAGTCTAGCAGTGTTTCTCAAGTGTATAAGTATCAGACTCACCTTGAGGGCTTGTTAAGACACAGATTTCTGGGCCCCAGTCCCAGAGTTTCTGATTCAGTAGGTCTGAGTTGGGACCCAGAAATTTGTGTTCCTGACAAGTTCCCAGAGGATGCTGGGTCTTCTCTTTCTATGACCACACTTTGAGGACCACTGATCTGAGGCAAGAATGATGAGTAAATAGCCACTACACAGAGAGAACTCTGGTTAAAGAGTGTACGGAGTGCTGTTTTAATAACATATTTAGCCCAATCCACCCAACATATTATAATTTCAATGCATATTAAAGATTAAAAATTATTAATGAGATAGTTTATGGTTTTTGTTCATACGACATCTTAGAAACCCAGAGTACTTCCTTACATCTCAATTTGGACCAGCCACCTTTCAAGTGCTCAGTAGCCTTGTGTGGCCAATGGCCACATTATAAGACAAGGCAGTTCTAACCACTGCCATTGCCTTTCCTTTCAGCCCCATCCCCTCAGTTCTGCCCCAAACGGTTGATGGCCTGAATTATATTTACTATTTGTTGTTGGATTACTATGCGTCAGGTACTATAACCGTAATTTCTCATTTTATCCACCCTTCCCCCTACCCCACCATTATGTGCACACATGAAAAACTTTCTGGGTATGAGTAACTATCATCTGCATTTCATAGATTTGGAAACTGAGGCAGTTAAACTTAGCTCAAGTGGCCTGTGTGTGGCAGGGCTCCGGTCCAGAGCTGCTGGATGTCAAAGCTCTTCTTTCCGTTGTGCTGTCCTGCCTCCCACCTGGGAGGATCTCGATAGAAGAATGCTGAATAGTCAATTCTAGTTCAACATTTTCTTTTGAAAATGATGAAAACTGATTCTTGACTAGGTTGAGTGAATGGCCCAAGGTCATACCTTAATTTAGTGGTAGAGACAGAAAAAAAAATTATATTTAATTATCAAAAGAAAGACTTAATAATGCTACCGAAATGGCTGAATATATAGCTTCATTATGATACAATTATTATTGTACTTTAGGAAAAACTGATATATAAGAATCAGAATTTGTAGCCATCTAGATATTTAGCAACTGCCAAAATTTGTATTACTTCTTAAAAAAAATATTTGGGTCCTGAACCAAAGAAAGTATAAAAAAAAGTATGGCATTTATGACATTTCGCTATTTGAACTTGACTGGATATTTCACGATGTTAAAGAATTACGGTTAATATTCTAGGATGTTCTAATGATTGGAGATTTATCATATGCAAATGCAGATCATTATAAGTGCAATTTCTTTATTAAAAAATCTCCCATGTTGTTTTATTTGTGCATAATAGCAAACCTATTTTGAGAATAGAATATATATGCACAAGTCTGCAAAATGTGCAGATTTAGGATATGGTAAATACTGTGTAAGTTGCTTTCAAAAAAACTGTCTGCTAAAAGTGGTCTACACTGTCATCATTTTTGAGGCAAGCTATTGTGATGCCAGCTTTCCATCCACGGCCCTAAACAACAAAGCATTTATTTAATGAGTTGAAATTAAGGAAGGACTACACCTCCAAAAAGAGAACAAAATTCTTATAGTTTGAGGTCTCAGAATCCCCCAAACCAGGACTCCTTTACACAGGTGGTGTCTCTCAGGTTTCAGAGCCTAAGTGGAGCTTGAGCGCCCCAGCCGCACAAGTCATTCAACTCTCCTACAAGTTTCCAAACTGGTTTGACTGGTGTAGGAGTGTGGACAATCCTGACTCCGTCTTTGGCTCTCCGTCTTGCTCATGGCCCACACAATGACCCACCCCCCCCACCCCACCCCCATCAGGGCGATGTGTTCCAGGCCCTATGGAGGCTCATGCGTGGTCTGACCAGAGGGCGGGAAGGCTCATTCGAATCTCCCCTCGGGTGCACAAAGGGCTCCACTTTAGATCACTACCCTTGATCTATAGACTCTGTGGTTTGAGGTC